TCATTATATCAGCAATTCATTTTAGCTGTAGGGGCTGGTGTGTGCAGCTGATTAATGGACATGCTCAGTATACGCTCGCATGATATGGCTTTGCAAAACTGTCCCTCCCTAAATAATTCTGAAAATGTAGAGCTTTGTTATTGCTGATGCACATTGTACTGTTCACAAATCTTGTATGCAGGCGGGCATTGCTCTTGATTAATCGATGTCATAGTCACCGCAACTTGCGTGGGATGCTGGGTGCTGAGAAAGGTGGAAAATATTGCTGTTGTTGTCTTGGACAGCCAGACTTGTGCCTGGTTCCCAAGATTGCTTCCCGGGAACCGGTTCCTGGTTCCTGGTTCCGGAACCAGGAAGAACCCAGGAACCAGTCTGGCAATAAGTCGGAAGATCCAGCAAGAAACAGGATCAAGCTTGACAATAAGTCGCAAGATCCAACAAGAACCAGAATTCAGCTTGACAATAAGTCGAAAGATCCAGCAAGAACCAGGATCCAGCTTCCCCAATAAGCCAAAAGATCCAACAAGAACCAAGATCCGGCTTGACATGAAGACGAAAGATCCAGCAAGAACCAAGAACCAGCTTGGATCGAACATGGGGACCCAACAAGAACCAAGATTCAGCCTGGAATTATGCTGAGGGATCCAGCAAGAACCAAGAACTAGCCTGGAATGTGCAAAGTGAGACAGCAAGAACCAAGATCCAGCTCAGGCTTACGATGGAGATTCAATTTCAGCAAGAACCAAGATCCGTTCTAAAATTACGTTCAGGAGCCAGCAAGAACCAGAATCTTACCAGGATTTCTTCACAGCAGCCGCTGCTTACACTCCCCACTTTTTCAGGTCCAGCAATATATGCTGTTCTTAATGTAAATTAACAAAATTAGGTCTATGAACATTGCTGGTTATCTGCTCAGGCTGTTCTTCATATACCACAAAACAAATTTACTGTTCTTCAATGTTAATAACGCTACACATTCACAAGAACATCAATAACTCGTCACGACACAGGTATGATGCAGACCTGCTAGGTCTGCAACTGAGCTGTTAGCTGCCAAACGTTATCCTGAAAGGAAAGGCCCGCTTTTCCGTGCGGATATCACGGAAATAATGAATCATGTACATATATATATATATATATATATATATATATATATACATATATCAGTTTACATAAGAACAGCACAAAGTGATTATCAATGAAATCACGCAACAACCACCAACAGCCCGCACTGCACTTCGCGCGCCAATGTGGCGCCACCGCGTGCCACTCATCAAGGCGGCAGATAGGGAAGCTAGTATCACATGTTTCGTTTATCTAAAACCCAAAGGGAATATGACGTCAAGGAACTAAGGCTGCTGGTGGTGAGGTTCTTCCTTGTGAGAATGCGGGACAACGGTCCTATTTTATTGACTTCTTATTGCTCACACCAAAAAACACACCATCTAACGTGTA